AATTAACCATTAGGCACAGTAGGCCTGTGCCTCCAGACAGCAGAGGTGGCTTTCCCTGTATAGTCATTGACTGCACATTGTTACCAGTCATAAGTACTGTAATGATACCTGCATCTTGCATGGAGTATACAGCCTGTTCTTGTGTTATTATACAGGACTCCTAAAGAGTATAGAGGTCACATGACCCCATACAGGTCGAGCAGATAGAAGGAACTTGGAAAGAGCTTTACAAAGGCACACACTGGAAGCTTATTAGCTGCCTGTTGTAGTGCTGTAGTCTCAATATGAGTTTATTCATTTCAAATTTTAGTTTTTAGATATAGATTCAAAATGCATCAACCTATTGTACACAATTTATTCAATATGTGTTTATGTATCATGAATATCATTGCTTGATTTTAATATACACAAGGGAACTGTGGGGCAGTTAACCAGCATAAGCAAAGAAGTGTTTTTTTGTATTTGCAATAATAATGTGATTTGGTAATAATGCCCAACTGACTCATCTACTGTAAATTGTGATATTAAAGTGACAGTAAACTCAGGAGTTGAATCTTAGAAACACACAAGTACCTTAACTATCAACCAAAATGTATCTTATTTGTGTATCACTCGGCTGTAGATCCTCAAATCATCTCTAAATTGGTGCTGACACTGTCCTTCCTTATGGAGGGTGGCTACTTTTCTTCCCCATGGTCCCTATGTGTGTTGTAAAGTAGTCACAGCTCCAAGCTCCTCTCAAGATGGACTACAATCTCAATACTAATTAGTAAACTAAATGTGAGATTGTAGTCCATCACAGGAGTGAGCTTGGAGCGGTGACTACTTTACAACACACACAGGGACCATGGGGAACAAAAGTAGCCACCCTCCAGAAGGAAGGACAGTGTCAGCACCAATTCAGAGATGATTTGATGATCTACAGCCGAGTGATACACAAATAAGATACATTTTTTGTTAATACTTAAGGTACTTGAATGCATTTCTAAGTTTTAACTCCTGAGTTTAGTGTCACTTTAAATGACAGCTTCACCTTCAAACCATTGACACTGTTGCCTTTATTTCGATAAGAAGTGCCCTCCAGAAACAACATGTCAGATTTATTTTCAAGATGGTTAAATGTATAATTAAAGCGCCACACCGTATCATTTAAATCCAACAACATAGGTTTACTCCAAACACAAAGTGTATATTAAAGCCAACGTGTTTCAGAGGCTAAACTCTGTCCCTTCACCATGGCTGGAAAGGAAAATAACACTATTTATTAACACACATATACAGGGCCAATTCACCTTCAAGCATGTCTTTGGAGTGTGGGAGGAAATCCACAAAAGCACAGGGAGAACAGGCAATCTCCTTGCAGATAGCATCCTGACCAGGATTTGAACTGGGGACCCCCAGTGCTGCAAGGCAGAAGAGCTCACCACTAAGACTCTGTAGTCCCTAACTATTCGTCATGACAAAGCAATGATCAATATCTTTTGTATTATAATTCTAAAGATGGTACATATATGTAAGAATAAATATGATTAAAAAATTGGGAAGTACCGGATTGCTGTTAATATTAAGGAAGACTAAATTGATAGTATTATAACAAATAAAAAAAATAGAAAAAATGGAAATAAAAAAATAGTGCACACAAAACAATAATAGCAATACAATTATATAATGGGTGTTAATCTTGATACTAATGACATATTTTAATAAATAAAAACTGTACATATAAAACAATAATAGCAATACAACTTTATAATGGGTGTTATCCTTGATGCTAATAAAAAATCTTAATAATTAAAAATCGTACACATAACACAATATTAGTAATAAAGATTGTACACATAAAACAATAGTAATGATAAAATTATAGTATGGCCATAATTATTGATGCTAATAAGATATTGCAAATAGCGACACGGTGACCGTACATATATGTATATAAATGTAATTGAAAAATGTAAACCGGATAAACTTGGTAATGTCAGAATTATTTTAAAAACTGTTTGCAAAAGAAAAATAGTAGGCTCTCCCAACCAACCAAATTTTTGTTTTCCCACGGCACTAAGAAAATGACAGCTAGACTAACATTGTCCACTTGGTTGCTGTTTGCAGTACTGTGTCATTTTCCGAAGTTCCATTTTTTTTTTTTTTAAGGAAGTCTTTTGTTTCTTTTGGAGAGAAAAGACACACACAGTCTATGATGCAGCTGTACAGGACATGTGATACAAGCAGGGCTTTTGCTTGCCACCCACATTGTAATCTTTTCCTAACAGATCACACTCTTTAAAGAAAACCTTTCCTGAAAG